CCGAGTTGTAATTTCCAGAGCAGAGAGTAATGGGGAGGAGGGGGAGGAGGCTTCAGCTCAGCGAATAAGGGCTCGCCTCTTGCTGCTAGGGAATCAAGGGGCAATTTTAAGGGTTTTGCAGAGAGGATCATTGTTAATAACAATCCATTATTTGGATGGATATTGCATCTTGAATCAGTACAACGCCCTGCCCCGCCCCGCCCCTGCCATCATCTCCCTGGGCCACTCCAGTTCCATCCCCCACCCCCAACCCACTGCCATACAAGGGTGAAAACGGGGTCCTAAAAAGACAGTCGTTTAGAAATGGATAGGCAACGTGGCCTGACAGTCGCTTCCTAAACTATGATAAAGCAAAAAAATGCAAGTCACAAAATGTCGGGCAGCCTGAAGTCCAAGGGTGAGGTTTTATTTATGAATTGAACCACAAGCCATTTTGTCTCTTCGTTTCAACCAAGGGTGCTCATCCGCGTTCCAGGTCAACGGTGTGCACGGACTGAGCGAGGACACGCGGTGCCGCTCACAAAATGGGGCTTCCTGAGAAAGGCGAGAGTACGCCCGGGTAAGGCCCTGGGAACCGAACGCCCCCAGACCCAGCCCTACCCCGCTGCGGATGTGGCGGTGTGTGGCGGACAGCAAGACCGCGAGCGGCAAGGCGGCGAGCGGGGACGTTCCTTTTATGAATGGGAAAATCTCCACATTCTCCAATGCCAGCCACGAGCTGCTGGAACAGCCTCCCACTCGCTGCTGCCCCGGCTGTTGGGTCTGCTCGGCTGTTCTTCTCCGCTGCTGCCGAGGGAAGGCTGGGTGGGAGAGGCAGAGGTGGGTGGGGACAAGCAGAAGGAAGGGCTGGCAGCGCAGCCGGCTCTGCCTACAGAAGTTTCACGCTGGCATGAAACAGATACAAATTAGAAAATCGTTTATTTAACAACGATACGAATATTGAAGTCATGCCTCCCCCGGTTCCAAGGTTCTCCATGCCTCTCCCGTGCTCCGAACAAAGGCTAAAGACTGGAGTTGCAGTGCCAGGCGCGGGCCCAGGCTTTTACTAGTTCCCGGGTGAGGAGGCGCAGGCTGGCGGGGGTCAGGCAGAGGGAAGCTGCAGCCTGCGCCGAGGCTTGGGGCTCGGTGCCTGGGGGACAGGAACCCCTGCAGGGGGACCACTGGGGCAGGGCGTGGCGACGAGCTCCTGGTGGCAGCACGAAGGCCCAGAACCTTGGAAGTCAGGACGCCCCGGGACCACTGGCCCCGCTCAGCAGCTCGCTTAGGCTTTCCTTCCCTCGGATCCTGAACTGCCAATTGAATATTGTCATAATACTCATGTCTGGGAACTAAACGAGCTAGTTGTAAATACAGACGGCGTTTCCCACTTTCTGTTTTTGTTGTGGGGGCGGCGGTTGGGTCTCGCTGGGTCGCCCAGGCTGGAGTGCGGTGGCACGATCATAAGTCACTACAACCTCGAACTCCTGGGCTCAAGCGATCCTCCTACCTCAGCCTCCCAAGTAGCTGGGACTACAGGCCTGTGCCACCACGCCAGGCTCTGTTTTAAAATCGTATGAACGGCCGGGCGCGGTGGCTCACGCCTATAATCCCAGCACTTTGGGAGGCCGAGGCGGGCGGATCACAAGGTCAGGATATCGAGACCACGGTGAAACCCCGTCTCTACTAAAAATACAAAAAACTAGCCGGGCGCGGTTGTGGGCGCCTATAGTCCCAGCTACTCGGGAGGCTGAGCCAGGAGAATGGAGGGAACCCGGGAGGCGGAGCTTGCAGTGAGCTGAGATCGCGCCACTGCACTCCAGCCTGGGCGACAGAGCGAGACTCCGTCTCAAAAAAAAAAAAAAAAAAAAAATCGTATGAACTTTCCGTCCGGCTTTGCAGCTTGCTTCCATTTTGTGTCAAAGTTGAAGAGCAGGCCAAGCTAAGGCCAGATAGAGCATCGCACAGCATTAAGAGACCTGACTCTACTTCCCCTCAGCTGGGGGGCTTGGAACAACCATTTAACCAGGCATCAGTAGCCACAGATGGGAGATGGTAACAACCTGTCCTCATCTGCCTTGCGTAGATAAAGCCACAATGAGCTGGATCCTGCCTGCAACTCTCAGATAAGCCTTCCAGAAATGGGCTGTGGAATCTACAGGGTCATGTCAGAAATGCAGTGTATGGGTAGGTCTGTAATTGAATGCACTTAAAGATGCATTCGGTGACCCTAGCAAGTGCCATCATTTACGCCGGCTCAGCCCAGCCTCCTGGTGACCACAAGGGAAGTCACACCCTCTTATGGTTCTACTGTGAACAGGTCTGCCCCAGACCAGTAGTCACAGGGCTGAGGTCCAGTCTGCTTTGTCATTTTTGAACCAAAACAAACTGCTCGGGGGTAGGGGTGGCCTCCTGGAGGGGTGTGTAACTGCTTTCCTGTACAGAAGGACTTAAAGTTCAAGCACTCCTCCACTCAGGCTGAGTGTAGCTTTGTTTTCCACGGGTAGGAGGTGATCTAGTACATCAGAATTCTACACCTATGCATTTCTCGCGCACTCTTGTCACCTAAATAACAAAGACACAGGCTCTCTAAAAGAAGAGAGGTTTATTTGAGAAAAAGGTACCGCAATGGAAAGATGCTTGCCATAGTAAATTCTGTGTGTATTCAGGGAGGTAACAGAAGACAGAGGTTTTTAAGGGAAAAAATGAAGAAGATTGCATAATTGTTTTGAAATAATTACTCTTGGCTACACATATCAATAACAAGGGTGATGCTAGTTCAAGGCTGGACAGGCAGTTGCTGGGCAGATGTCCTGATAGAAGTAGTTTTTGGTGTAGGGTTGTGATGGCCTCTGTGCAAGGTTGTGGGTTTTGGAGTCTTTTGTGGTCGTTTTTGTTATGAGGCATTTATGCATGAAAATTCTCCCTTCATGGCTCTATTTGTCAGAGTTTTGTTTTGTTTTGTTTTAACACTAGTGACTCCATTTTGATTCTGACAGCTTTCATACTCTCAATTCCTACTGCCTTAATTCTATAACATAAATCAGCTTATCCTTGCACTGTACTTTTGCTAAAACATTGTGCATGTAGGGGATTAGCATCCTATCACTCCTTTGTTTGAACTGAAGTTACAAAGCTAGCTTCAACGCTTCACTGTATATAATCACAATTACTTACAATAGTCAATGTTATCCATAAAAAGTCCTCTTTCTGTCTCAACTGTGCCATGAACTATATGCATATAGAGAAGTTATTTTATTTCTCTGAACCTGTCTCTCCCTATTATAAATTTTGGGGATAAAATTCATTGAACTTTAAATTTCCTTCTGGGGCCAGGCGTGGTGGCTCACACCTGTAATCCCAGCATTTTGGGAGGCCGAGGAGGCTGTATCACAAGGTCAGGAGTTCGAGCTACTGACCAGCTACTCGGGAGGTTGAGGTAGGAGAACTGCTTGAACCTGGGAGGCAGAGGTTGCAGTGAGCTGAGATGGTGCCACTGCACTCCAGCCTGGGCGACAGAGCGAGACTCCGTCTCAAAATAAAAAAAAAAAAAAAAAAAGGATTCCTTCTGGTTCTACAGTCTTTGTGTATTAGCTATTGTTGATAATGACATTATCCCTTGGCCAGATGTGGTGGCTCATGCCTGTAATCCCAGCACTTTGGAAGGCTGAGGCAGGAGTGGATCACTTGAGGTCAGGAGCTCAAGACCAGCTTGGCCAACAAGGTGAAAACCTGTCTCTACTAAAAATAGAAAAATTAGCCAGGTATAGTGGCACATGCTCCCAGCTACTTGGGAGGCTGAGGCACAATAATTGCTTGAATCCCAGGGGGCAGAGGTTGCAGTGAGCCAAGATTGTGCTACTGCACTCCAGCCTGGGTGACAGAGTGAAACCCTGTTTAAAAAAAAAAGAAAAGAATAACATATCCCCCCTTTAAAAAATGACTCTCATGAAAAATTTGATCCCCAAATTGAATGACGTATCCATTTTTTTTCCAAGTCACTAGTATATTATTAAAGGCTGGACTGTGGGGTGGGTGAGGCAAGTAATAATATTTGCATTGTACCACTTAACAGTGTGGAATTAGAACCTTATTTAATTTTCAGAACATCTCTGGGAATTAGGCATCACCACATTTCCGCAATTTTAATATGTATATATGTTTACATTTTAATGTTGCTGAAATTAAAACGTATACTACAATTGATACATACTTCTGCTCTCCCTACTGTTACTCTGTTACTTTGATGGTGCATCTTATCATCACTGGGACTCATGGAAAGTACATTAGTAATTAAAACTCCACAATCCACTGCTATCAAGGCAGAGAAAAACAGATTCTGCCATGAGTTACTTTTGATAATGTACTGCAGGATGGTTTTTACACTTAAGTGTCCCAGAAACACTCAAGAGGCAGACTAATGTAACCTCTCCTCCAAAAAAAAAAAAGCACAAATCAGTTAAATAATTTACTCCCGCTAACACAGCAAGTTAGAACTAAATCATCTGCATTCCTTTCAGAACCTTCAAATTTCAAGCATGGAGTAGAATGGAATTTAAAGCTTTATCAGCTAAAATCAGATGCTGTAATCTCAAGTAAAAGAATCTCTAAAACATTTTTTTAAATGAAAGCTTGTGATATTTTTTCTTTTCGTTTTTTGGGTTTGTTTTTAACAGTTTAGGGGAATTCAGGAAATTCAATAGAAATCTACAGACCAGAAGCCATCTGGTCTAAAGTAGTTTGCATTTAACTCAAAGAAAGTGACCATATCCACATCTATGCATAGTGTACCAAAGTGTCTTTGCAGCAAAGTTAATGAGGAACAATTATCGCTAACAACATAAAGCACTCTCCCCAGGGTGTGTAATTGGCTTCTTTTCCAGAAAACACTTTCTATTGAGTAATCTTAAAATCTAGCCACTTTTCCCTTCAAACATCCTTGATTGGTGCTTAACAACCTTGTTTTAATTTGTGAATACCAAATGATGACCACCCCCTTCCAATTCTGAGACTCATCTTCCGTACAGATCAGGTGATCTGGTCTTAGAAAGTCTGCTTTTGCCTCACTGCATCTTTTGCAAGCAAAAGAGTTTAGAATCAAATCCCAGATGAAGAAAATTGATTTCAATATAGAGGATTCTTTATATACCCAGGGTATCTCTGTAATGCATGAAAACTAATACTATTACCACAAAAGCAATTTTTGGCACTTCCCTCTGGTTACATATTTCAGCTATAAGAATTGCAGTAGTGCTGTACACTTTCACAGCACCCCTTCACATATTTTATTTTATTTATTTGTTTCAGACAAGGTCTCGCTTCATCACCCAGGCCGGAGTGCAGTGTTGTGATTATGGCTCACTGCAGTCTTGAACTGTTGGGCTCAAAGGATCTTCCTGTCTCAGCCTCCAGAGTAGCTAGGACTACAGGTGCATGCCAGCATACACAGCCAATTTTTCTTTCTTTTAAACATGTTTTGCAGAGATGGGGTCTTACTACATTGCTCAGGCTGGTCTTGAACTCCTGGCCTCAAGCAATCCTACCACCTCGACCTCCTAAAGTGCTGGGATCATAGCTGTGAGCCACTGTGCCTGGGCCCATTATTTAATTTAATCCTTACAGCAATGTGGGTTGGCCTGGGAGATGATGAAAATGAAGAAAGAACCCTGACCCACATGGTAGGTTTCTACCAGCCATGCTAATACAACTTGATTGCAAATCTAGGCACAATTGTTTAGTTCACGGGTGGGCAACTGACTAGGCTGAGCCAGTCAGAATCTTTTCTTCCTGAAATGTAGAATTGGAAACCAGAGAAAGAATCTGCATGGGCCTCTAACACAGATGTTAAGGAACTGTTATTGTCCCGAAAAAGAAAAGAGAAAAAAAAAAGAGACAGAGAGTGAAGAATAAAGCAGAAAAGCAGAAAAAGAAGAGAAGAGCCCTCCTGAGGTCTCACAACCGTGCATGTTTCTGAGACTTGGCTACATTCATGAATAAAACTCCCTTCTACCCTTAGGAAAAATATAATTTCCTTTCCTTATTTTTCTCCCTTTCTTTCTCTCTTTCTTCCCCCCACCCTCCCACCCTTCCATCCTCTCTATTCCAAAACTAGCTGGGGAGATGAGGGGGTAGTTCGGAAGGATAACATTGGTTGACCCATTGGCCTATTCAAACAATTAGGGGGACACGCTTATTTAGTCGGACACTTTAGTCATCTCTGTTGGGATATTGAAATATTTCTTTTCCTCAGCTTCTCTTTATTGAATTCTGACCTTGACTCTTTGTTGGTTTTGCCCTTGTCATTCTTGGATGCTATTTTCTCCTTATAGCTTGACCATTTCAGTCCATTAAGCTCTACTTCTCCCTTTGCTCTCATCCTAACCATCCACTCTAATGAGCCATTTGCTTCCCTTCCTTGGGCTCCTGCTTCCTCTCCCTGACCACAGCGACAGCCATGGCTCCATGATGCCTCTGTTCTCACCACTCAATATTCTCTTGAACAGGAAATCAATGTTAGATTGCACTTGATGGTGCGTATAACTGCAACGGCCTCTCATATTAAGACGAAAGCAAACTCTCGAGGTTTGTAAACTGTAGAGTGCTATACTGGGGATAACAAGTTACTTGTTACTTGGTGAGTATAAGAGAGATCAGAGCACAAGTTGTGGAATAGTGCATGAAGAGTGCTTTCAAACTCTGATAGCCTTACTCAGCCATTTGCTCTGTAAGGCTCTACCACCAGGGGAAAAATGCTCATGCCACAAAGCAGGGCACCTTTCACATGGCAACATGCTATAATCCACCGAGAACCATGTCATCATCCAGTTCACTAGCCTGCAGTGTTACTTATAATATGGAAATTACTATTCAAGTGCAATGACTACAGTTTCCTAACAGCAACCATATTTGACTGATTTCTACATAAGGAGCCCTTAGGTTTGGTAGAAACTTGACAGACCTCCTGAGTTTTGCATGGTGGTTGGGAGTGTTGGCTTAGAAGCCAGACCACATAGGTTAGAATACTGGCTCTACTGCTTACTAGCTGAGAAAACTTTGGCAAGATGCTTAACCTCTCAGCCACTTGAATTTCTCATCTATAAAACTGAGATAACAAAGGTACATACCTCAAAGAGCTGGGACTACCCAATGAAATGATGCACGTAAAACATTCAGAAAAGTCAATGTATAGTGCTCAACAAACATTAGGTGTTGTTACTTTTTAAGTTTTCTGCCCCTTGGCCCCACAATACAGGACATGGTGACCTTGAATAGTTGATTCTCGACAGACATTTGTGAATAGGTGAACTGCAATCAGACTGTTTTGGCTGGAATGTCAGGCTGTATTTGAGAATAGTGGAGAGAGCGAGCCTCTTGTCTTTTGCGAGTGAGAAGAGAAGACGGAAGAGCTATCAGAACCATCTATCAGGAAACTGCTGTGATATTTAGAAAAAATACAATCTCTGCTCTAAAGGAGCTTAACGTTTAAAGCAAAGATCATGGCTAGAGGCAAAAAAATGGAAGTAATGAACTTGCAAAAAATAGAGAGCAAGCTTTCTTTGTTTTTTAAAAAAGCAAAGGAAACAAAGAGATATATTTAAATATTTATGCTATCTATAGATTAAGGGTTAAGAACATTGATTTTAAAGCTTTTAGTGAAAGAATGCCAGATAAAAGACATTATGACCTGTAGTACTTGCACATAATTTATATAATGTAACTGGATAATATTAATCAAAATAGTTTCGATTTTTAAAAACAATTTCTTATTGTCATAGTAGAACCAGAGAGAAAGTAGAGAGTCAAGTCTTGAAAAACTATAAGCTTCATGGAGGACCTGAAGTGGCTGTACACTGTGTTTAGACAGGCAGGCCAGGGCAGCCCAGCTGGGTCCCTGTACTCCCCACAAGTGCACCAGAAGCACCTGAATGTTTTCTTCTGTGTCTCAGACCTAACCCAGAAAATTGGCAAACCTATAGCAGCCTTTCAATCAGAGTCTAAAAGAGCCATATGAACAGAAGCCAGACTGAAAAACAGCTCTCAGCAGAAGTCAGTGTGTGTGAGGATGACAGTGACAGTGATAGGAACTTAGACACTTAGTCCACCTACACAGACACATGCTCTCACAACAGAAAACACTCCAGAGCTGAGGTTTACTCAAGAAGGTGAGGAGGGAGGGCTGAGGGTTTGCCTGGAAAT